CAGGGTGCAGGGGAGAAGAGCGCAACCTCAGTGACCTCTGCACTCCCTGTTCTCATTGCCCCTTCCAGGGTTTGGAACAGTGAAACCCCTGTGTCACTTGCAGTCTCTTCTCCTTAATGAGCAGACTGAGACAGTAGAACACTTGACATTGTTCTCTGGTCTCAGCAGCTCTGGTACCAGAGAAAAGGGCCAATGTGGTCCCCATTTACAAGAAGAGGAGAAAGGAGGACCCCGGCAACTATAGGCCAGTCAGTCTTACTTCGGTCCTTGGGAAGACCTTGGAGAAAATCATCAAGGAGCACATCTGCAAGGGCCCAGCAGGGGAGGTAATGCTCAGGAGCAACCAACATGGGTTCATTGAGGGCAGATCCTGCCTGACCAACTTGGTTTCCTTTTATGATCAGGTCACAAAGTCCTTGGATGAGGCTGTTGAGGTCGATGTCATCTTCCTGGACTTTAAGAAGGCCTTTGATATTGTTTCCCACCACATTCTCTTAAAAAAACTAGCATTGATGGGTGTCAAATTGGCTAGATGGTCACACCCAGAGAGTGGTGGTGGATGGGTAATTTTCAACATGGAGGGATGTGGGCAGTGGAGTCCCCCAGGGCTTGGTCTGCGGGCCTGTACTGTTCAACGTCTTTATCAGTGATCTGGATGTGGGTGTGGAAAGCACGCTGTCCAAATTAGCTGACGACACCAAGATGTGGGGTGAGGTGGGCATGCTGGAGGGGAGGGACAGCTAGATCTAGACAGGTTACAGAGGTGGGCAGATGAGAATAGGATGGATTTCAATGCAGACAAGTGGAAGGTGCTGCATCTAGGGAGAAGGAACCAGCAACACACCTATAAGCCGGGGAACACCCCTCTTGTCAAAACAGTGGCAGAAAGGGATCTTGAAGTCATTGCTGACTCCAGGATGAACATGAGCCGCCAATGCGAGAAAGCAGTTAGTAAGGCTAACTGCACCTTGTCTTGCATCTACAGATGCATCACAAGCAGGTCCAAGGAGGTGATCTTTCCCCTCTATGCAGTGTTGGTCAGGCTGCAGTTAGAGTACTGCATCTAGTTCTGGGCACCACACTTCTAGAGGGATGTGGCTAGCACTGAGAGGATCCAGAGGAGGGCCACTCACATGGTCAGGGGGCAGCAGGCCAGGCCCTATGAAAGAGGTTGAAGGGCTTGAATCTATTCAGCCTCCACAAGACAAGGCTGAGAGGGGATCTGGTGGCCATTTAAAAACTCACCAGGGGAGACCAGCGGGAATTGGGTGAGGCTCTGTTCCCCTGGGCACCGCCGGGCTTTACCAGAAATAACAGCCACAAATTGTTAGAGAGAAGGTTCAGGCTGGACATCAGGAGACATTACTTTACAGTTAGGGCTCCCAGGCTCTAGAATGCACTCCCAAGGGAGGTGGTGCTGTCTCCTACCTTGGGGGTCTTCAAGAGGAGGCTGGACAGATATTTGGCTGGGTTGTTATAACCCTGGCACTCGTTCCTGCCCGGGGCACAGGGTTAGACCTGTTGACCTGTTTAGGTCCCTTCCGACCCTAAGCACGATGAAATGCTGTGCATTATCACATACCTGTGGGAAGAAGGGAAGGGATTCTCCACAGTCCCATCTGGATGGTGATGAAAGTGTGGAATGGATCTTAAATTCCCAATTCCTATGAGTTGAACCAGAGTCTTCCTGAGCCCCAGGAGACAACACTGCAATCACAGCAAGAGCCAAGAACTCAAAGGTCCAAACCATAAACAAGAGGGGATCCTGATTTCCAAGTCCCTTTAGCAGCACAGCTGCTCTTGACTAGATGCACACCACAGGGTTGATTGTTCTGGTTCTAATTCACTATGACAAAAGGATTTGCATGGACCTGCCCCATCAGTTGAGCTTAACTAAAGGGAGACAATGTGGCCACCACCCATTTTATTCTTTTTGGACAACCCGAGAGGTCACCAGCAGAGTGGGGCTTTGCGCTGCCATCAGCTGGGTGTGCCTGGCTAATGGGACTTAGATCTGCTGGGCCTCAGCATAAGTGGTACAGGATCAGCCTCCCTTTACCTGGTTGTGTAGGGCCAAGCAGATGCTCTTGACTTTTTCACTGGGGAGAAGGGCTTAAAAATCATAGGTCACCTCCAAGATCTGGCACAGACTCTGTAACAGAAGGTGACAGTCAGAGGGAGGGTTAGGGAGGAGAATCGTGGAGTGACAAAGAGCAGAAAATTAGTGAGTGAGGAAAAAATACCTCAATGCCCCATGCTCAGTGCTTTCTTGCTTTGGTGCTGGAAGTTTCTACGTCTGCAACTCTGACCACACCACACCACACCACACCACACCACACCACACCACACCACACACTGTGCTGTTTGAACTCCTGCCCAGTACCCTGAATACCCCCCACACCTGGTTTACCACTCTGGAGATTCAGATTCCTTTCAAAGAATGCCAGGAAGAAAGTGGGTCCCACAGCCCACGGTAGCATAGGCCCCAGAAGTGACTGCAAAGTCAGGACCAGCCAGCATCTGCCCACACAGCCCCAGGGACACAGGACAAGGGAGCAGGGAGCTGAAGTGGGGTTCTCCCCTCAGGTAAACCTGTGCAGTTTCAGGGGGCTGTGCAAGTGCAAACAAAGAGTCCTGTCTCACCCAGGAGAGACACGCTTCACAGGCAGTGGGGTGGTAGCCCTCCACTTCTATAACCCATAGAAGGGAGCCCCAAATCTCCATGTTTTAAACTGTCAGGCTCTGACCATAATCCCTGTACTCCACAAGAGACAACCTCCTATCCTCCCTACCCCAGGGAGTTTTGAGAGACCAAGCCCAGGGGGAGCAGAGCAAAACTCAGCTGAAAGGAGTGGTCCAGTAGTTAATTTTGTCTCCCCTTATCAGACTTCCCAGAAAATGGAAGTAGCATTCACAACACACCCATGATCTACAGAGTTTAGCCCCTGAAGGCAGGCGAGGCTGATTCATTAAGGAGTCTTGAACTGCATCAGGAAAGCTGCAAAATAGCTACAGAGTTCCTAGGGCAATCCGTACACACATGTGTGCCAGTGCGCACTTCCACACATACAGACACACACAGGTCAATGCTGGTTTCCCAGGTGGCATCTCGCCATGGTGACATGAAAATTTTTGACCCCTCCCTCATACTGCTGCAGGAGACAGGGGAGCTTCTCAAAAATAGTATCATGATACCCTTCATGGTAGAGAAGGAGGCCCAATGTGGGTCCCAGCACCTTGACCACAGCCTGCTGCAGCTGCACAGAGGGAAGGCAGGACTGAGTCCCTCTGACAGACTTCCTGGGAGGTTTCTCTGGATCAGCAAGAGGCACAGCTTTTCACCTCAGGACAGAGCAGACCAGCCCCATCTGCATGGTTCCCACCTACAGCAGCTGGAAGGTGTGGTGGGATATGGCCCTGGGGACTGGTTCATGGATCACACCTCCTAACAGTATGGATGTGCCCAGGTTTATGTTCAGTGACAGCAAACTCCACCTTGGGCCATCCCCCTAGGCACCAAAGGAATCATGCTTGGAAGGACCTGGCCGCTATCCCAGTGCTCACTGGCACCCATTAGCACACACAACTGCACACTGGCTGATTCTCAGGCAGGTGATATGATCCCCTTGAGACTGGGTAGTACCTGCTTGGACTGCACAGACAGCTAGACATAGTGACACGTGACAGCTGTGCTACAGAGCTAGAAAGATAGCAGCCCTCACCTCTAGGTCCTTGCTGGTCAGCCACCTGGTGCTCATGAGATTAAAAAGGGAGCACATAGAAACAGTAAGCAGCTGCCCACATGCTGGGGAATGGGCTCTCATTCCTGACTTGGAATGCTTTCCACAACTGCAGAAGGGGATAAAAGACAAAAGGTTTGCACAGGAACATTGGAATGAGGAGGTTCTGCTGCAGCAGCAGGACATGCAGGCCTGGTGGCCATGACAATCTCCCAGCACCCTCTGTGCTGCTCAGGGCAGATGGAGAATTTGGGACAGGTGGAGCAGGCACCAGGGACTACAGCTAGGATTCAATCTGCTCCATCTGTCTCTGGTCCAAGAGCCTCAGGGCCTAGAGGCAGCTCCAGCCTTGGTGACAGCTTCTGGGAAATACTCTGCGAAAGTCATAAAAGGCCCAATCTTGCTAACTGCTCAGAGCTTCCAGCCAGCCCTGGTTTCTCTGCTCGTGGTTGGATCAGGCCCAGGAAGTGCAGTGGAGGCCCCACTTACCAGTGTGGGACACTCCAGTGGGATCCACGCTCTGTGTTATGCACCTGCAGGAAGTGCCGGCACTCACCTCTACACAACACTGGCTTCGTCTTATTGGTCTCCACCAGCCCCAGCACAAAATGCAACTTGCTGAGCATCAGCATGAGGACAGGAGGGAGGCAGACCTCCGTGCTGAAGGAGGGAGGGGAGGATAGATTGTGCTGTTAGAGACATTCCTGTCCACCTTCATCCCTCACGCTCAGGCACATGGCTGGGCTGCCTGCTGTGGCCTCCCCAGCCAGGCGATGCTGGGTGAGCAGCCAAAGGGGCTTTGAAGATGTCAGAGAAACCCCACAGGGACCTCCCCTATGTAGGGCAATTTTCTGTCTGCTGTCCCTCCCATGCCAAGATTTAGGGGAGGAGGAAGGAGTGGAGGGCATGTTGGGGAGGGGCAGGGCTCCTGTCCACCTGATCTCCACTCCTTCCTGTCCTGAAGGCCCTTCCAGCTGTGACAGAAGTTAGTGCTGGCACCTTAGAGCTGGGTCTTTGGGTCCCAAATCCAGCTCAGTTGTGGTGGTCACATAAGACAGAAGTGGTATTCATCCCCTCCCTGTGCAATCCCTGATCAGAGCCTGGAAGCAAGGGATGCAATGCTGTATGATAGGCTGAGGCTAGGTTGCCTGGCATAATCATGAAGAAAAGGGGTGGAAGCTTCATGATGCCCATGTGACTCTGCAGCTCATACATCACCTCATTGTAAAAGGTGCCAGCAAGTGCCACAAGGGTTTTTTTCTGCAGCCTACTGCAGTTCATCATTTTCTTGCTAAAAGAAAAAAAGAAAACTGGAGGAGACACCTGATGCACAGTTTATACAGTGGTGAGTCAGGCTGGGGCTAAAGTTACCTCCTGTGAAAGGGATGGAGAATGATGCATTACCCTCAGGTTCTCCAGTGGCCACTCCCTTAAGTCCATTTCATCCTTGGGTCACCCTTGGCTTCAAGCAAACTGTCTCCCTCCCCACCTACCAGCCACACACTGTAATAGCTGTTCCTGAATTCACCAAGTCCCCCTAATAATTCCTTGAATGAAATCCCTCACTCATAAATTCCAACTGAAACACTTGGATGAACAGTATTTCAGCTCTGGTTGGCTGGCCAACTGCAGAATTCACCTGGGCTGTAGGACACAGCTTCAGCATGGACCAGAAAACTTCCTGGGCAATGCTGTCCCCAGCAAAACACCTATGCACTCTGGTCTTTCTCAGCAGAGGAGCTGCCTCATGTTTCAGAGCAGCTCAACACTTAGATGGATCCTGCCTGTGCTCCCTAGAAACATCTGGAGGAGATCTGTCTTGAGCAAGGCTGCAGCCTCTAACCAGGAGATACACTGTAGGCTCAAGTTACATTGGACCAAACAAACTGGGTATAGGCTAAGGTCTTGTGACGAGAAACTGGGCAAAGCTCACTCACCTGGGTCTCCCTCATGTCTTTGGAGGCCAAGTGAATGATCCTCCTGACAAGGCTCCCATCCAGGCCCTTTGTGTCTCCCTGCAAGACTTTCTCCAGGCTGGATAAATGGTTACTCTTGTCTCCTGAGAACACACCAAGAAAGAGAACAATGGTGTGGGGTTTCTTTTGGGACCAGTACCAGATCATCCAGGACTATGATGTTTAACATCAACTACCCAGAATTAAAGGAGCTCTGAAAGGGAACTTGCTTCCTGGACAGGAACACAACCTGGGTGTCTTGGGCTGGTCCTTTCATGCAGATGTTTCACAGCTGGCACTAACAAGGGAGGAGTGTCAGGCACTGTGAGGGCAGAGTGGTGGGAGACAGACATACGATCAGAAAGGCAGTCAGATGCATCATAGGCACTTTTGCCCCAGTGCACTGGAGAGGTGGGAGTGACTGACACATATTTCCTTCAGAGAGGGGGATACTTGGGGAGTAACAAGGTGCTGCCAAGTGAACCTGAGCAGCAAATTTAGCAGGGTTTTTGCCAGGCAAAATGCTGCCAAAAACCATGGTATGATTGGTTATGTTACTGAAGGAAGAAAGGAGTTGAAATACTTATGAACTAGCTTCCTCAAACTCAGCCGAGGCATACTTGGATGGCAGCTAATCAGGTGGGGAAAATGTGTTGCCCAGGATCTAGACAGAGACTCTGCACCCTTGTCTGTATTCCCAGCTCTTTTCCTGACTTGCTGTGGGACAGTGGGCAAGTCACTTCACTTCCTGGGCCACAAGGCTGAGGCTTTCCAGGCTCACGAGGCTGTTGGGAAACTATATTTCATGTGAGCTCAGTCCTGTGTGATACCTGGAGGAAGACGCTAAAGAGGCTCACAGCATTATCTGCAGGATGAGAGCTTGTTTGAATGTGGCTTATACCATATCTACTATCCACTGGGGAGGGGGAGATGGTGCCTATGTGAGCATACCCTGATATCATAGTGACATCACAATATAACAATGGCATGTTGTATTGTGATCTTTAATAGGAGAAGAGGAATGGAAAAGATACAGTAGATGGGCAAGGACCAGTTTTAGCTGGGGTCCCACCGTGTACAGCCTCGCTGCAAGTAGTCTGACTCAGGAAGGGAAATGCTTAGGGCAGCCATGTGATACAGAGCCACTGCCCTACCTCCTCCTGTTGGAGTCTCTCTAGCAGAATGCCCACAGTAATAGCCAGCTCCATGTCTGATGCCAGGCCAGACCCTGGGGCAGGGTTGCCCTTAGCTTTATCCTTTAGGCACCTCCCTGCAGAGGCATCACTGGTGAAAACACCTGAAATGGAGAAAAAGGATTCTGCTGATATACCTGTGAGAAATCATGCTGGTCTCTTTCATCACCACCCACTAGCAGCTCTGCTGGAGCCAAACCCTGGGGCTTGGCTACAAAGGAAATGTTTCCTAGCACGGCAATAATGGGAGAGCTCTCCAGGCTATCCTCCTGGGTTTAGGCAGCTGATACTGCCAAAGAGGCACTTTTCTTAGTGCAAATTAGGTCTGCCAAAAAGCCCTTCTTTGCCAGTAGGATGGAGATGATGCTCTGGTGTCGGCTAGCATCAGAATGTAAAAATCTATAATCATCATTCCTGTGTGCAATGGCTGCAGCTGTACCAGCCAGAGGGGCTAAAGTGGACCTGGTCAGGGAGGAAGATGTGTCTTCCCCTTTTGCTTGCTCTATTATGCTAAAAGATTTGTTTGCAAAATGACCCAGACAGTTGGAAGGGGAAATTACTGTGACCTTTGTTTTCAGGAAAATAAGGGAAAGTCCTGCAGACAGTAACAGTTCTTTTCTTCTTGACAATTAGTTGGATACTTGGGATCACACGCACAATGATGGTTTAGAGCCAAAGTTTCTGAAAGCCTA